TGAAAACTCCCGTAATTGAATTGCAGTTTACGTGGGCAACCGTCCCTTATTTTACGGTTTTCAATTATTCTGAAAGAGTGCTTGTTGGGTGCAATGGGAATGGGGATGAAAATCGAAAGGGGTTGGGGTTCATGTTTCTGTTGATCTGGGAAGGAAGAAGACCTGTAGAGTTTCTACAGAACCTCCTAGAAGAATCCCTGTCCCCGTTCCCAAGGAAGCAGGAGTAAGAATACAGAAAGGACTAAGCGCTACTTTCCATGGTACAACTACTGGATGGCTCCTTGTTAGCTATGCATGGCTTATAACTTGCACAACTATAGTTGCAGTCACCTGGGGCCCCACTTCTGGTTTAGGGTTTAGGGTTTATTCATGAAACCCATGAACCTTCACCTCATGAGTCATTTATCGTATGGCTTAAAGATTTCCCAAACCCCAAACCCCAAACCCGAAACCCTATGTAAACCCTGTAAAGCCCGAAAGCAACGATCATCTCATTTCGTATCTCAATTGCAAAACATCCCCAACACCAAACTAAACCCCCACCCTAAAAGCCCAAACCCTAAACCCTAAACCCCAAACTCCTGAAAAGGTGTGCCAAACCCTAAACCCCAAACCTTACCTATGTCACAGCACCTTCATTAGGATCTTTGAGGTTTTGTCTTTTTGAAAGGCGTGCGATAGAAATGCTAAGGGATCAGGTTTGCATTGTATTGAGTGGGTTTAGGGTTTGGGGGGGTTTAGGATTCTGGTTTAGGGGTTTTAGGATTCAGGGTTTAGTTGTTTAGGGTTTAGGGTGACGGAAAGGCATACTTTCAGGAAGGATCTGAACGGGGTCTGCGGGGAAAACACGCTAAGTTGCGGGTGTCTCAAAATCTGATTTTTGCACTGCAGGAATGGTTGGTGCGTGCTACAGAGAACCTACATAGAACTGCAACTCTGACCCGGCTACAAGGTTTTTCAGTCCCCCCAAGCAAGGGTATGGTTGGGTGATAGAAATGATTAGTTATTTGCAGGTTAGCAGCAACACGCCCCTCCAAGTAAGCAAGGTTCGAGGCGTCGGTAGGATGGACTGTATTTCATGTAAACCCCCTAAACCCTAGACCCTAAACTTCAACCCTAAAGCTTACATCACCCCTAAACCCCAAACCTTACATCCGACATAAACCTTAAACCCTATACCCTTGCTTCATGTTGGCCTTTGGGCCTCTCAGGTTCAGGCCATGATAGATGGCTGGAAGGGCAAGTCTCTTGAGCGCAAGCAGCTTTCATAGCTGCAAGTTCCTAAACTTGATTGATGCTTGCCGTTCCTCTTGCGGCGCAGCCCCCGCGGCCAAGCAAAATGCCAAAAGCAGGGATGGAACGGCCAATTTCAGCCAGCAAAGTACCATCCCGTGATTTCAATTTCGTGCTCCTGCGTACTCTTTCCCTTGCAAAAGAATACCCTCACCCTGGCCTATATGAGCTACAGTCTGACCTCCTTTAAGGGGGTTATATAGGGGATTGATTATATAGGAGACTAGTACAGGGGTTACTAAGGGACTACTAGAAGTTCAGACGATAGCTCATATGAACCCCAGACAATGGCAGCCTTTGGATGGTGGCGCTGATGACGAATTTAATTCCCTTGCCTCTTGCACAAAAAAGCAGGGCCACAGTTGTCTGCCAGAAATGCGGGCAAACCCTGCTTAGAAAAAAGGTGCTGGAAGTAGGCTCTTGATGCATCATGCTGCTGTTCGATGTCGGGTAGAAGCCTAAACCACCACGAATATTGATTCCCAACAAACCTTATGTAAGCATCGTGGGTCTAATAGTGAACCGTTTAAGTTTATGCATTGAAAGCCCTTAACCCTTTAGGCACCTACATTAGAGTTTCGACCGGTCGCGGATATCACATTTTGAGAGTTTTTGAGTCAGAGAGTTGTAGTAGCGGCGAATCGAGATGCGGGTTTGAAAATTAGACGTCTTTTGTGGGGGATTCTAGTAACGAAGAGTATACTGTATCAGGGTTTACATTGAAGCTGTGACTGAAGACCTCCATATAGGATCTACGGGGTGGCGGCATCGGGGACTGAATATTGTCGCCCTCCAAACAAAAATTGGGCACTATTCAGTGCGGGGAGCGGGGGCTGCCCAAACCAAATTGGGTCGTAGTTAGAAACGACCCTAAACCCTAAACCCTCATTTCCGTGCTGGGTAGCTCAGGTAAAAGGGCTTTCTATTTGGATCCATAGGCCTCCACCCAAACAGTTAAGGCGCACAACTTCGCACAATTAAGGAAACGAATCAGGGCTGCTGATACGTGATACGGGTTTAGGGTTTAGAGTTTAGGGTTGCGGAAAAGCCCCGCGCATTTAAGGCCCCCCACACTAGTCGGGACTCGAAATTTACCTAGTGGCAGATGCTGTCCTGTTTCCCGTAAACTGGCGATTCCCACTACAGCCTGAGACGTTGGTGCTGATGTGTGCCTCTGAGTCGAAACCCCAAAGCGCTAAACCCTAAGCTTGGGTACTGCCCCCCTTCACTGTTACTGGGTGGGGGCAGTACCCAACATAAACCTATCTTGGCCGAGAAGCCTGAGTCATTTGCAAATTGCGGTATCAAATGAGCTGTAGTCTAAACTCCTTAAAGCGGGTTATATGGGGGTATATATTGGGGACTACTCTAGGGATTATCAGGGGGGATACCCTAGGAGTTTAGACTATAGCTCAAATGGGAAGGAGAATTGAGTATGAATTGCAAACTGCAGAAGTAGACGGTGCCTATAGGGAAGATGAAGAAAACTGTTCAGTGTTATCCCCTCATAGTCGAAAACCTTCAAGTATATCCCGACCCTGTTCCCGGCATTGTGGTAGGTTATAATGTACTTTTACTTGAGTGATCAAGGAGAGCTTCACTTCCACATGTGCCTTTTTTCCTTGACGTAGAAGCATTGCTCTAGACCTTGAATCCTACGCCCTGAGCCCCAAACGCCAAGCCCTAACTTCCACATCTTAGACCCCGAAATCCTACTTAAACCTCAAACCCCTAAAACCTAAACCCAAGACCCTGAACCCTTAAACCCTAAACCCTAAACCCTACACCCATGGCCTCGGCCGACTGCGCACCAAACTCGGTGGAGTATTGGGATGACTTCTACGACGATCGGAGGATGCAGGGTTCAGGATTTAGGGTTCAGGGTTTAGGGTTCAGGGCGTAGGGTTTAGGTTTAGGGTTTCGGGCTGAGGGCTCCATAGAAGGATTTCTGCAGAGATCCTCGGATTAGCGTAAGCATGTATGGGTTCAGAGCATATGAAATCATTCAAGGGCTTTGGTAATGCCAATCCGTAAGATTTAGACCAGATCGCTGTCATATGCAGCACGATCCTCATTCGCGGTGTTGGGTGGTTTGGGGTTTGGGGATTTGGGTGTAGGGTTTTGGGATTATGGTTTAGGGTTTAGGTTCGGGGAAGTTCCCGCACACAGCGTCTTTAGGATTTTTAGGATGCGGATTGTTGTCAGTATATGTTTTGAGAATAAGACTTGGCGTGTTAGAACAGCTTTTTTTTTGTGCCTTTAACAGCGGACGAGACAATAACATAGACGCTCACTGTATGCATTGACCAGTGCGCAGTTGCCACATTTGCTTTAAGATGTTACATTACTGAGCTTGCAATAAAGTATCATAGGTTGAAGATGAAAGGTGCAGACAGCAGCGCAGCAGCGAGTAGTTCTAACAATCCATGTTAAGAGTTCCCCATCAGCTCAAGATGACACCACTATACAATTACGAGTTCTGAGTCTCGTAACTTAAGATCAGTCAGAAAATCACAGATAGCAAAACCAAACATCATTACTTCCCTTTTCTTGGGTAATATTTGTAAGATATGTAGAATATGAAAGACGTATAGTGATGTTTTCATAAAATGATTCCTGTTTGTGTATCAGCTCCTGTTTCCATTAGATTAGTTTCTACTGACAAGCATTGGGTATGATTAGATGACAGGTGTTAGTAGACTCAATCCTAACCAATGATCTCCGTCATGTATTTCGTAAGTATTACTGGCTTGGTTGTTGATGTCTTATTATCTTTCGTTGGACATAGGTATCTCACCTACTGATGAGTAAATTATTCTTTTATTTCACTACTCGAGACACCTTCTCATATAACAGTGCTATTCTGAATAGAAGTGCACACATATGGTCTCTGACACAGCAGTTCTATTCTCTTACACTCGCTTTGGTGTCTTAAGTATTCTACCAAGTGCTTAGAGCCCTTTGTACCTGTTAGTGCGCCTTGTGGATCTGGTCGTATTTTATTACCACGTGGGAGTTCGAAATGGGAATAAAGTCAACCGTTGTTTTCGGAACACTCTGAGGCTTCCTATCTCTAAATGTTAGTTGTGACATATCACTACGATCACTACTATCCATGGTGCATCCACTTTATCTGCCACTCTGTAAATTCAGGTCGATGCAGTTAGAATGAACCGAAAGGTATTGCCTACTCCTGCTTTAATAGTCCTCCTTAAGTAGATAGAATATGCCTGGGTATATTACAATAAGATCCCCATATACCCAATATTCTATTTACTTAAGGGGGACTATACTATCAGTTATTATCATCACCCATACTGTGACCCATACTGCTAGTCTGACACCCAAGAACAGTACTGACTTGTCTTTAGTTCCAACACTTAAGGCTCCAAAATCCTGGAGGAATCATGCGTTCAACTACGCTGGATGGAGGAGATATTGTACCACTTAGGATCCCCAGGTTTAGGGTTTAGGGTTTAGGATCCACAACATAGTGTAATTCCTCAGATATGAGGTGCACAGTCTGGTGCAAGATTCCCTCCATCCACAGCATCCTCCGATACTGGAACTTATGGGGGTAGCATGGGGGCGGGGTAGTGGGGAAGGTGTCTCAGACAAATAAACCGCTCACCATCAGCCTACACGAATCGCGATAGAGACCTAGCTAGGGTTTAGGCCTTAGCGAGACGAGATTCAGTATGACACAGGAGCGCCTATGACACGCTGTATGGCTACGAGGAGTTGTGATTTGCAGCTGGAATCCTGTTGCTTCATCAGCCCGATCCGTAAACGCGTTCGAAGGGTTGGAATTGATTAATCTACTTGGAGGGTCAGGGGGCTCAGTAAGGCTACTTATAATTTCCTGCAAACCACAGATACTTACATCATGTCTCCCAATTATTAACCTGCTTACTACGTAAGCACCCCCCTGACCCCCCAAGTAGGGGTCAAGAGGTCTAACCTTAAACCCTGAACCCTAAACCCTAAGTCCTAAGACCTAAGCCCTAAACCCTAAATCCAAAAAACCCAAACTCCTGAGTTTAGGGTTTTCATGTTTGGGGGTACGATGCCCGTTGGAACCCCTAAAGCTCCCAAACCAGATCCCATCTGAGGCAGCTCTTAGAAGTGACCTCTTCATATGGGTAGTTGCCAAAATTATGGTCCCTTTTTGGGTACCCTAAATATTAGGTGCCGTATCATAATAGGGATCCAAAAAGGGACCGTAATTTTGACAGCCACCCATATGAGCTATAGTCTAAACTCCTTAAAGGGGGTCATATAGGGGATTAAATAGGGGACTACTATACGGATACGGGTTATTAAGCGGGATACTAGGAGTTAAGACTATAGCTCATAATATGAAGTTTAGGGTTTGGGTTCAGGATTTTGGGTTAGGGTTTTGGGTTTAGGGTTTGGGGTTTGGGGTTTAGAGTCCCCAATGTTCTTGGTCTCCTGTGGTCATATTTGATGTTTGGAGTTGGGGGGGGGGTGTAACACCTGCCGCATCCCGTATAGTCCCCAATTGAATAGTCTTTTATTTGGGGATACTATGGTACCCATTATAGAGTAAGATCATATCCTCCTCTTGGGGTATAGTATTTTATATAATTACGGGATATAATCTTACTAGGTACTAGGTGGAGGACCTCCGGCCCTAAACCCCGAACCCATGCAGGACCTCCGGCCTCTGCTGTTGTCCCTGATTCCCTTCACTCCGTCGCAACGCGCACATGTGAACGTGCTGCACGCAGGCCAAGCCTTGACCTTAAGCCAGTTCCTGGTCTATAGGGGATATGTTGGGACAATGGAAAAGAAAATGGAATCTACTATGTAGGGTTTAGGGTTTAGGGTTCGTGACTGACCACATTCTGGAAAATACTTTTTCAGGTACATGAGCCCTACTGCACTGGGCAGGCAAACTTTTGTGGTGTCACGGCACTGAGCAACTAGGTTGCCTTTTATATGCAAGGTAGGGATCAGCCAGGTTACAACCAGGCTCTCATGAAACCGATTATGGAGAACATTCGTGCTTCCTAATGTACTTAAACCCTAAACCCTAAACCCTACCTAGTTTGCATGTCTGCTTAAGAACTCTTTGGCCTGCATAGCAGGGCCCTCAAGATAAATATGAGGATTTGTTCGTTAACCCCAAGTCCTACAACAAGGACCCAGTTAGAATCGCATGATAGTCATAGGGTCCAAATAGTGGGGGTTGGGGCTGCATCAGCTTGCCACGGATGGGTGCCTTCAAAGTGTTCATTCATTCTTTTGTGGAGGTCATTTTGCAGACGCACATTTGGCACTCAGGCATTTTGCAAAACTTGAAGCCCGAAAAATCTGTGAAGTTGGGTGCTGCCGTCAGTGTTTGGGCTGCCAAGCCCATTCCAGTGTTGTAACAGTATGTCTCAACATCGGACCTCCCAACAAGATGTGATTTTTGCCTCATGTTAGAGCGCTATGAGGCCAATCCTGCGTTTGTGGAACACCTCGTATATGATCTCCAAAGAATATCCATACCATGCCAATGCCGACCTTCGGCACTTCTTGGTGCCTAAGCTGGAGTGGGGGAGGGAATACACAGGCATTGACTTAAGGCATTGTACACGGATATATGGGCTAAAGCCCAACACCCAACAACCCTAAACCCAACAACCCTAAACCCTAAACCCCACAACCCTAAACCCAACAACCCTAAACCCTAACCAGTACACCGAAAAATCCCAAAGCTTCCAAAGCTTCCTTGCCTCCCTCCCTTGCCCCTTAACTGGATCAATGTTAGGAATCCTTTTATACTTTTTGGGGTATAGGATTCCCTATAATTATGTAAAAAGGATCCTTCTTTCTTCCTAGGGTAATGTGGCTAAGTTAAGCACCAGTACGGGTAGCGCAGGCTGCGGCACCAGCAACGTCACCGAGGGTTTGTGGCGCGATGGCTTTCGAAGCTCAAAGGAAATTGAAGGTCAGCTAACACACTTTGTGCTTGCAAATAATGTAAGGCTTATGAGTTATCACACCCAATAACCCATTCAGTAACCCTAACTATCCCAGTTATTACCCTACTTACTAAGCCAGCCTACAGACCATCAAACAAATCTAGGCCTCTCTGTAAAAAAACTTTGCTGACGGAATCCTTCGGAGCTCCCTGGGTTTAGGGCTTGCGGCTTAGGATTTA